TTCTTTTATTCTTCCTACATTACAGTGTAGCTGCAGCTACTCTTTGTGATGCTTATCCAACTTGGTTTATATACATAGAGAGCTTTCTCCCTACCCCTTCAATTTTAATTTCAAGCATTTTTTATTAGATTTGCAAAATTCCAAAAATGTGTTCTATTAAAAAAGTTTTTATGCTTAAAATTATATCTTGTTTTTATTGATGCCTTTCATTTTTTACATCATATTTATTTCCAAATATATCGTTCTTCTCTTCCCTTCCCCAGCAAACAATCCCTTGTCAATAAAGAAAAAAGAGGAGGGGGAGGAAGCAGTTCAGCAAAACGTAACTGATATATTAACTGTATCTGACAGTATATGCAAAATTACACATCCATAGTCTTCCTTTTCAATCAAAGGAGGGAATTGCATTTTCTTAACTCTGTTCTAGGGCCAAATTGTGTCATGATTATACAGCATTATTTCATTTTTGTTGTTTATTCTATTTACATTGTTGTAATCCCCAAGTTTTCCTGGTTCTGCTTGCTTTACATGTCTTCAGATATTCAAAATTGTTATATTCATCCTTCCTTACAGGTCGGCAATATTCAATTATGTTCATGTACCACAATTTGTATAGCCATTTTTCAGTTAATGGGCATTTTTGTTTCCAGTTCTTTAACTACCATGCAAAAAAAAAATATATCAGTAGATATTTTGGTGTACATGGTACCTTCCTTTCTGTCTTGATCTGCTTGGGGTATAAGTTTATCGATATAATCTCTGGCCAAATATGTTCTTAACGATATGTTCTTTTCTTTTCCTTTTTGATTAGTATTTTGTTTTTCCCAATTATATGTAAAGACAATTTTTAACATTAAGTTTTACAAGATTTTGAGTTCCAAATTTTTCTCCCTCCTTCCCCCTTCCTAAAATGGTAAGCAATTTGGTATAGGTTATATATGTGGAATCATGTAAAACATATTTCCATATTAGTCACAGTTGTGAAAAAACAAACAGAGAAAAATGAAAAAAAAATCACAAAAAAATAAAGTAAGAGAAAAGAATATGCTTTGATCTGCCAGTCCATCAGTTCTTTTTTTGGATGTAGATAGCATTTTCCATCATGAGTCCTTTGTAAATGTCTTGGATCATTGTGTTGTTGAGAAGAGTTAAGTCATTCATAGTTGATCATCACACAGTATTGCTGTTACTATGTACGATATTTTCCTGGTTCTGCTCATTTTATTTTGCATTAATTTGTACAAGTCTTTCCAGGTTTTTCTGAAATCTGCCAGCTCATCATTTCTTATTGCACAATTCCATTCATATACCGCAACTTATTGAGCCATTCCCCAATTGATGGGCATCCCCTCAGTTTCCAGTATTTTGCCACCATGAAAAGGACTGCTATAAATATTTTTGCCCACCTAGGTTCTTTTCCCTGTTTTATAGCCCTTTGGGCATAGTTCATAGTTCCAAATTGCTCTCCAGAATGGTTGGATCAGTTCACAACTCTACCAACAGTGCATTAGTGTTCCAATTTTCCCACATCCTCTCCAACATTCATCATTTTCCTTTTTTGTCTTTTTAGCCAATCTGATGGGTGTGAAGTGGTACCTCAGGGTTGTTTTAATTTGTATTTCTCTAATCAAAAGTGATTTAGAGCACTTCTTCATATGACTATAGATGGCTTTGATTTCTTCGTCTGAAAACTGCCTATTCATATCCTTTGACCATCCATCAATTTGGGAATGGCTTGTATTCTTATAAATTTGACTCAGTTCTCTGTATATTTAAGAAATGAGGCCTTTATCAGAAACACTTGCTGTAAAAATTGTTTTCTAACTTTCTGCTTTCCTTCTAATCTTGGATATGTTGGTTTTGTTTGTGTTAACAATATGTTCTTATTCCTATATTTTAATCTGTAGTACAGAAATTTATATTCCATTCTCAGTTACTCTCTTTTTTTCCTCATTTTAAAATTCTAAACTTAAAAAATAAAGTGGACTCTTACATATACATAAAGAACAGAAAAAGAAGATTGTATATGAAACAATCTTATCTACAGCTTACTTTTCTTTTAAAATATGTAATAAATTCAACATTCAAGTCACTTTTTTTAACTAGCTGTTCACTTCTCAGATCTACTTTTGTCTTCAGGAGCCCTTGTCTTTGATAAGCAGCAGTGAGGAAGACTCCACCTGTGCCCTTAAGATTTTCAATTTCTTGCCCAAGACTTTGTAATCTTTAGCAGTGTTTCCAGATTTCTTCAGATTGTGTCGTTTGTGCTCATGTGAGTTACCAGAAGTGGGTATTAATTATCTGGTTTAACCAGTCTTGGGTTACAATGTCTGGGATACATGGTGTACGAAGAGAGGAAATCTCTCTATATCGTTATGAGATTGACAAATAGATGTCTCAGTACCTCTAATCATCAGTGCTACTCTCTTCTGACTTAATAGATGATCTAACATCTTTGTAAGTACATCATCATTCCTTGTAGGATAAGCAGTTGCTTTCTTTTCAGAGGATTCAGCTTTCTTCTCATTGAGAAGAGCCTTTACTTTTTCTTAGCTCCAAATGTTTAATGGCCTATTTTCTTCATTTTTTTTGTGGAAAAGGGTTCATTTTTCCTGAAAACCTCTAGAATGGAGAGTTTTTTCTCAATCCCTTTTACATTCTCTTTGAGGAGAAAGACCAGCCTGTACTACGAATATTAAGTCACATAGCCATGCCAGAAATACATATGGTCACTACATGGTTCACTGCAAAATACTCTCTGTTTTCCAAAGTTGCTGCAATTGAGATCTTCAGTTCTTTATCATTCTTGTCAGCAACACCCTGGAGATTGTCCTTTTTAATGATTTTTAATGACATAGTTCTAATAATGGAATCTCTGGGCCAAAAAGTTTGATCAACTTTGTATATTGCTTTCCGTAAACATGGTGCCCATCTTATGTTCCACCAACTTTGTTTAGAGATTCCTTTGAAGTCTGATTGTATCTCTACAAACCTGTCAAAGTCTGAAGCTTCTCAGATGTACATCTCTTGCCTTTGGCAAGGTTTTGGAAGGAAAGATAAATTTATTTTTGGACATGTTGAGTTTAAGAGGTCTGTGAGAGATATCCAGTTTGAGTTATCCAATAGGCAGTTGGAGATTTGAGTCTGGAGGTTAGAAGAAAAGTTAGGACTAGGCTTAGTAGATCCTAAGAATCATTAGCAGAGATGATAATTGAATCCATTAGAGATAATGAGATCACCAAGTGGAATAGTATAGAAGAGAAGAGGGCCCAGTTCAGAATCCTGGGGAACACTCATTATCTGGCTACTGTGATACTATTATTGCTGAGTGGTTCCTCCTTCCCATTCTTCCTCCTGGAAACTTTAAGTATTTTTCATTATTTTTGTAAGGAAAGACACTATGACAATATAATCTGTATAGACATATTGAATATTGGTTTCTTTCTGCCCCAAATCTTGCTCATTTTTTCTCTCTGTTGTTAGTAGCTTATTCTAATTCTTAAAAAAAAAATTCCCTATCATTTCCTGGAATATAATATTGAGATTTAAAAAAATTCTGGGATGTCAGTAATTTGGAGATTGCTATATTATGACCTGTTTTTGAATTGTGTCATTTGAATGTGTCTGTTTTCCAATTGCTTTGCATTGTGAATGAATGGAGAAGTGTTTATAAGCACTTAATATGAGCAAAGCAGGGCCATTAGGTGGCACAGTGGATAAAGTGCCAAACCTGGAGTCAAGAAGACTGATCTTCCTGAGTTCAAGTCTGGACTCAGACACTTACTAGCTTTGTGATCCTGGGCAAGTCACTTCACCCTCTTTGCCTCAGTTTCCTTGTCTATAAAATAAGCTGGAGAAGGAAATGGCAAACCACTCCAATATCTCTGCAAAGGAAATCCCTGATGGGATTATGAAGAGCAGAACATGACTGAACAACAAAAAATGTACAAAGCCCTGTGTCAAGCCCTCAGTATACAAATAAAAAAGAGACAGTTTCTGCTTTCACAAAGTTTACATGCTACGGTGGAAGGGAGACAGCGCATAGGATGGTTCAATTGCAGGGCAGAGTTGATAAGGCTATTGGTCTGTCGTCTTATTAGAATAGTAGTTGGTAACTCTTCTCGCTGTGAATGACCATATCCATCCCATGGGGAAGTGAAGGTGAAGCTGGAAGAACCTGAACCTCATGACCATTGGGAAGAGAGCCAGAAGGCTGGAGTTTGAATGTCCTTTCCATAGGGATGGGGCTGGCCTTCAGTTGAGAAGGGAACCTTGGAAAGAAGGAATAGGGGAAGAGGGAGGACATTCATAGCCTCATCAGTTCTATGTCATCCAGTCCTTTTTTTTTTTCCTTTAACCTTTTAAGGCATCTCTTCATTACATCTGGAATTCCTCCTGTAACTCTTCAGTTTCTTTGAGGTATTCTTTTATTTAGGCCTGTAATTTTATTTTATTTTCTTATTTTTTTTAAGGCAATTGAAGTTAAGTGACTTGTCTAGGGTCACACAGTTAGTAAGTGTCAAGTGTTTGGTCTGAGGCCATATTTGAACTCGAGTCCTCCAGACTTCAGGGCCGATGCTCTATCCACTGTGCCACCTAGCTGCCCCTAGGCCTGTAATTTTCTTACCTCTGTCATTCACTTGAATATGTGTCTCAGCCTATCTTGTTTCTTTTTCCATCTGTGTTTCTCATTCTTTAGCTATTTGAATTGTTCTGCGCTATTTTTAAGTGGACATTTTTTGTTGCTTTCCTCATTTTCTGTTATGTATGTGAGAACATTTTTACTTCTCATAGTTGTTTCTCTCCTTTTTTAAAGGAATATAAGGAGACTTGTTCCCTTCAGTTTTCTCTCTCTACTATCTTGACAAAAACCTCTACTCACAAAAAGCTGAAGTTATACCTTAGTGTATTTTTAGGACTTTGCTTATAAATTGAAATCTTTTTCTCATTGTGGTTGGGATATAAATAAATTCTAAATTCAAATTTAACTTCTGTTCTAGATTCATCATGTTACTCAAAATGGTGGACTGTATAAAAGACCATTTAATGAAGCCTTTGAGGAAACCCCAATGCTTGTTGCTGTGCTTACATACGTGGGGTATGGTGTCCTAACACTCTTTGGATATCTACGTGATTTCTTGAGGCATTGGAGAATTGAAAAGTGTCATCATGCAACAGAAAGAGAGGAGCAAAAGGTAAATGAGATTTTTTTGATTCTGCAATGAAAGTTCTTTATGAATTTTTTTCTCCTTAACCTTTACAAGGATTGTTTTATTATTCCAAGTACGGTAAAATGAAAACATTTGGAGCCAGGTCAAGGTATAAAGGAGTTAATGACACCTAATGGGGAAAAAAATTTAAGTAGAAAACAACTGTGACCACAATAGACCATCCCAATTAACAAATAAATTGTGTTCCACAAGTTAACTTGTACATTGTTTTAGACTACTTCCCCCCTGAAACAAGGCTATGATTATTGGGTTCCTAGGCTAACCCTAAGCAACAATGCTATTAGTGATGATTTACTTTCATGGCCAGTCCACAAATGGCTGGTTTAACCCACGCTGTAGCTTAAAATACTATATATTTGCCATATAAACATGACACAAAATAACACTAATATATTATTTGTAATCCAGCAAGTATGAATTAAGTGTCTGCTCTGTGAAAAGTAATGTTCACAGGGGAAGATGCTGTTTTTAAATAAAGGCATGGACATGGTTTTTAATTAAGTACATGGAGCTTACAGCCCCTGTGGAGTCTCTACAGATCAATAAAAATGTAAATTCTTATAGTACATATGGCAGACTAACACAGAGACTGATATTGTTGATTCAGCGTTTTAAGCCATTTATTTATGCATCATTTATTTATACATTTATCCATCAGTGGATAAATAAATGTTTAACCAATTGCAGAAAACAGCTTAATAGAGATTAAAAAAATGAATCACAGCTGATGTGATTATATCACAGATACGTTGTCAGGCAAGTCAAAAAAGCAGGTCATCTGAACAATCTATGTACATAAGCTATTCATATTAAAGATTTAACAATTAATTGGAGAAACAATTAAGTTTAAGGCAAGTATTTGTTCAGTAAAAAGAGCCCAAACAAAAGAGAATAAAATTGAAAATGTGTAATTTTTAATTTAGTTTATTTAGGTACTTGAGAATACATGCATGCTTTTCTTCCCTTGACTTTTTCCATTTCCCTATCAGCCCCAAGTGGACCTTGTTTTACTTTTGCTTCCCAGTCCAGTAAGTACCACTAGCTAGCCCGAAAGGTTGGCTTGTTGCCAGGCTGATTGCCATAGCCCTACCTCTTGGAGGGCAAATGGGAAAGTAAAGTTATCAAGCAAGGAAATCTTTGTATGCACACTGAACTCCGGGAGTGGCCAGAGAAATTGCTATTGGCAGCCCCAAGGTAATGAAGGGACCCTTTTTGCTTTATGACCTAATTCAGCTGTATCTTTACACTAGTCTTTACGATTAACTGCCTTCAAATTAATTACATAGTGAAAAGATGTTTTATGGAGGACTTTTTTCATGTGGTAGGTTGATTTGAGTGGTGTTTATATTTTAAGGATTTACCTATGTGTGCTATGAAATGCATAAACTATTGTTCTGGAAATTTAAGGGCAAAGGTATAGCTTGAAAGCTACCCAAAAAATAGGGAACAAGATCTTTCTACACAAGGAGTTTGTAATTTATTTGTGAATGTTCTATAAATCCATGTTGTATGAAAGTGGATAAATGGATTTGTAAAAGTATATTGCCACTCCTGGGAAAATTGAATTGTGTTTATTTTGGTAGAGCAATAGCTTCTCCTTTGTATGAGAGACAGTGAATTATTACAGAGTAAATGAAATAGATAAGCTCTGATTTCTATAAGTTTATAGTGTAAACCCAAGCCTGATTAATCAAAAAAAATGAAATAGAATGCTTGTATTAGTCTATAGTACTGTTGGGATTAAGTTATCTCCCAGCTTTTATTAGCCAGGAAGCATATAGATTGCATCATGGAATTATAATTTAAATTTGTAAAAATGTAGCAGGCTTTATTGTTTTGGCTCTTTTTGCTAAATAAATGCTAGCCTTAAATTTAATTGTTTCTCTAATCATTTAATTCATGATTCATGTAGCTAATGTACGTAACTATTCAGATGACCTTCTTTTCTGACATATTTGATAATGTATCTGTGACATAACCATATTAGCTGTGATTCATTTTTTCAGTTATTTTTTGCTGTCAAAGTAAACTTTTTTTATCCTTTGATAAAATGACTGAAAACATTGAATTAGTAATATGAATCTGATGGCACTAGGATAGAACTAGAAATAGTGGGTGGAAATTTCAGAGAGATAGATAATTAATATAAGAAAATACTTATTAAATGTTAATGCTGTTAAAATTAGAAGGGACTGCCTGGTAGATCGTGATTTCTTTTTTGCTAGAGATCTTTAAATAAAAGCTGACTGAATATTTGTTGGAGATGTTGTAGAGGCAATTTACATCATACAGTTATGGTTTGGATTTAAGGTACTTAATTATATGGTTTTATATTTACTAAGCAAGATACAAGTAAGTATATTCATATGTTTATGTTGAAGATGGAAGATTTTTTTTTAAGGCAATAGGGGTTAAGTGACTTGCCCAGGGTCACGCAGCTTGTAAGTGTCAAGTGTTTGGTCTGAGGCAGGATTTGAACTCAGGTCCTCCTGACTTCAGGGCCAGTGCTCTATCCACTGTACCACCTAGCTGTGCCAGAGGGTGGAAGATTAAAGTGGTAATTTGAGTAGAATGGGATGAATCGGGGAATGTTTCCTGGAGGTGTGAATTTGGAAGGAATAGAGGAATTGGAGAAAAGGAAGGTCAAAAAAAAAATGTCTAAATCTTTGTAGCATTTAATTGTAGCTGTTAATCATGAAAACATTATTTTGGGCTTAAGCTAAACTAGCCCTAGAAATTTCTAAAAGTTATTACTAATAGAGAAAGTTCTTAGGGGCCACAGGGCCTTAAGATTATTGTTGTGAGAATAATAAGAAGTCTTATTTACATAACCCTTTGAAATAGGTAGTGAAAGTGTTATCCCTTTTTTACAAATGAGGAGCTAAGGGTTAAAGAGATAATAACTAGCCCAGGTTCATAGAGAGAGTGTTAAATGGAATGAATGCAAAGTGAGGTCTTCTTTCTCCAAGATCAGTGTTCCTTCTGCTGTACTAAGCATTTTCTGTTTGAGAAGTGGAGTTAGACAAGAGTGGGATTTTTAAAATAATAAACTGGGGAGAGGGGGAGTCATGTGGTGTTAGAATGGGTGCCAAATGCCCACTCAATTCTAGCAGATTATAATATGCAAGTTACATGCTATTATTACCACATCCTGATCTCTTCCAGGAAGTTTTATCCCCAACACCTTCTCTGTGTTGTCTACCATTCCTCCTTTTACACCTAATGTAATAATTCTCTTAAGACATTTGATTCAAGTGACACTGAATTCTTCAATTACCATCTCTGATAAAGATGTAGTAAGAATAACTTTATACATGTTATACAAATTAGATATAATTCTTAGTAGAGTTCTTTTCCCTTTTAATTGGGTAGAGCTGGATCTCAATCACAAATATTGAGCACAGATATATAGATTAGACTGTATGTGTCCTCCCAAGATATTGCTTTATCTCTTTTGCAGTAGGGAGGTACTAGGAGTTCAGATACATATATTGTTTTATGCCCAGCAGGACTTCAAATTTTTCAATATCATTAATATCCAAACATGAAGAAAATAGAAATTATAAGGAATCTTGGAATTAATTATTTTGGGTAGTAATCACATGCTTGCTCTAATGTTTTTGTGGTGTTTTTAAATGATTTTATTTCCAGAAATAGGAAGGATGGGATGATAAGGATCAAAGACTTAGAAGTGGAAGAGGAGTTAAATTATCTAATTAAACCTCATAATTTTAAAGTTAAGACCAGGGAAGTTAAGTGGCTTGTTTGAGGTTACTCAGGAAACAGCCCTGTCTGGATTTAAGCCCAGGTTTTCTGAGTACAAATCTAACACTCTTTTCACTATGAGGGAGGGCCTCATATGTGACTACTACCTGGATTGTTTAATTTTCATATACAATAGGAGGAAATAGATATAATTGTGTGAATAAGGATTCCTGGAAGGATTTTGTTCTTAACTTCCTTCAAAATGTACCCAACAGAGACTTTTCTGGTAATTGCTGTTCTAACAGCCTCTTAGGACAATTAGTAACACAGTGTTGTTGCTTGGTGTATTGAGCTATAGGTCCACCAACAGGGCATCAATATGTTTATTTTCCCAAAGCCCCTCAAACATTTTTCATTTTCCTTTTTCATCATCTCTAACACTCTGATGGGTATGAGATGGAATCTCAAAATTGCAACTTTTGGGGTTTAGTTTCAAATTGCTTTCCAGAATCGCTAGACCAATTCACAGATCCACAGATCTATATACATTTATAGTTTGGCCCTCTCACACCCTCCAACAGCTGTAATTTTCCTTTTCTGTCAATCTTTGCTAAATAGGTGAAACCTTTGAATTGCTTTAATTTTGTATTTCTTTTGTTAATGATTTGAAGCTTTTTTCTCTCTCACAATTAGTAGTTTTGGTTTCTTCCCTTGAGAACTGCCTGTTCATATCCTTGGATCTCTTGTTGACTGGGGAGAGACTATTCATTTATAAGAAGCTCTTTTCAGAGTTATATCTTTGAAGAAGTCTTTGGTTTATACCTTCTAAGAAGTCTTATGTTTTTGTTTGATTTGCCTCTTTCCCCTTTGTACTAAGCCTGCAAAGAATTAAGTTTTGTGTACACAATATAAATATAGCCATTGCACTTTCTTGTTACATTTAATAAAATCATTATTAAGAATATTTTGGAGTCATCAGCAGTGGTTCATCTCAGGTTTTCTGTGCACTTGGTAATTTGGAACATATTTTAACTTCTAACTTTGTATGTTGACAAATTGTGTCTGTTAAGTTTCCATTAAACAACTTTGCAAGTTTAAAGGGCTGATTTTCTGGCTGCTGATCTCTATCCCAAAGCTTAAGATTTGGAATGATACTGGTCAGTATTTCCTCTAAAGTTAAGCATCAATAGCTAGACAAATTAGTTTCATACCAGAGGAATGAAAATGCCACCTATCTACTCACATATGTGACTATCTAC